TTKKYTTTTKWGRKKTTTTTTTWTTTTTTRWKKTTTTWTTYTTTACAACTTTGTACCATGAATTAGAAGTTTTAGACACTTTTGATACGGGAATCGCTTGCGTCAACAATATTTTCTCACGCACTTTTTGCATCGTATTGTCATTTGCTGCATGTATTAAAAAGGATTAGTAAGGGCAAGTCTTTTGTTTTAAAATTTTCTTTCCTCAAGCCCGGAGACACCAAATTTTAAAACAAAAGAGCRGGTCCTAGCAGTGGCTTCCCCTTTCGTGAAGATGGCATAAAGTAAGGAATCGATCAGGAGCTCACTTTACCTCCAGTGTTTTGTATCCCATACATCTCGGTTCTCGTGCATATTGTTGAGCCGTATCGACTGGTGGGCGCAATACGTAGATACTGGCCAACAGAGCCATCATACAACAGGTTCTTGACTATGGTATCAGAATCAAAGCTACCACTGAATGTCTACAGGAAAATTAAAACACGGGAGATAACGATGATGATGCAGGTGATGAAGATAATGATGGTGATGATGATGGCGGTGAAGGTAATGATTATGTATGTATATTTAGCAATTATTCGCCGAAGGCGAAGTGAATATCGGGGAATATTTACCGAGACGCGAGTCTTCGAGCGGCGAGGTAAATATTCTCCATATTCACTGAGCCTGAGGCGAATAATTGTCTTAGCATATACCAACTTGTCTACAGAGTAACTTATTTTTATATACAATAATTCAATAAAAACAAACAAACAGAAACTTTAAGTTTGCTTGACAAATTCACGCAAACCTTTTARCAAAACTTTTAGACCATACTTCGTAGCCTTTTTAGTACTGATAGGAATGGCATTTACTTATTAGTTTTTTCAATGTCCTCATCCGAAATTGTAGCAAAACGAAGTACACAAGTTGGTATTAGACTATATGCTAAATAAATATATACAAACTTTATTTCATGTGGGTAAACAAATTCAGTATAAAATTAATTAACTGGTTTCCAATTTGGCCGATGATTTTGGTGATGATGATGGGGATAATGATGATGATGATAATGATGATAAGATGTTTACCTTCACTTGGCTGTTTTCCATGTATTTAGTAAAAGTAGACCCATCATTTGATGYGAGCACATTGTAAGACCGAATCCACTGATCTGTCATGTGGTCACCCTGTGTTGCTATACCACAAATGATGTAAGGTGATCCTAAGTTGATCTGTAGATATGGAGAAGAGTCACTTGTAGCAGCACACCATGATGACCCTGCTGTGTAGTTTAGTCTTGCCTTGGATGGTGACGTGGTGCTGTTGTAAGCTGATGATGACGTAATGGCACTGTCTAGTATATTACCTCTAGCAACACCAACTGGTAGGGATCGACAAGATATACCTGCAGAGAACGAATAGACCTCTTTAGACTGGGCGTAATGTTTTCCCATTTCACAGCACGTTGCATTCCCCAAAGTATCATTTCTTTATCCAACGGTTACGCATGAGAAGACACAGGAAACAAAGAATATTATTCTCAAATAAAGATCCTTGGTCTGAAATGGAAACATTACGCCCAAGATGCCTATAGAGCTAGCGTGTTTAATTGGAAACGTGTGTTTTGTTTGCTAGAATAAAGATGGAAAGTGAATGGAGCCCGGACCATTTTAGCGATGTCTCAAATAACACCAACCTTTCTAGTCGTACAATTATCACTTTCTATATTTGATTACTTTTGAAATTAATAGTAATGGCTGGATTAGCATGATACCTTTCTTGACTCCGTATACTTCCACACGTAGTACCTTCCAGGAGTTGTAAGCTGTTGGTATGAATCTAACATATCTGGCCTGAACTGATAGATGCAGCGCATTCTTGACGACAGTGTTACGATCTGTGTTACCAGTGAACCGCTAAAGAAAATAAGGGATCTATGCTCACTTTCATATTTAGAAGTGAACATAGATTCAGTTTTGGCGATTTTTTACGCCATTTAAAGCTTTAARAATGTCGAAAAAATGAACAAAACTTGCAGAAATTTTAGTGAAGAAGCACTTGAAATTTTCCAACATCTTCAATTTAGCTTAGAAACCTGGCATTTTACAAAGGAAGCCCAAAACGTAAGTTTAGCATGCATCATGATTAATCTTTATATTGAGCAGCTTGTGGGAAGGTGGGAATGTAGGGGCAAGGAGTTCTATATTTGAACATATATCAAATCATATTCACTTATAGCACGTACAGAAACTTATAATAAAAGGAGTTTCTGATAGAATGGCGTACCAGCTGAACGGTGAACGCGGCGCGCAAAGCATGAGTGGAGAAAATGACCGAACCTAATCATTTTTGGAGCTTGAAAGACGATGTGGCGCCAAAGCGAAATTGTTTTTTTTCTTTCTTTACATATTTCTGCTTCTTGGAGGCACGTATATTATATTCTATATGTCAAAAGAAAACAGAAAAATACGCAAAAGTTGAGTTGCAAAACAGCACATGCATATCAATGTACGTAGCAATAAACTGTTTCATGCATCATAAAACCACCTTTGTATTTGTCCCATCTTCAGTGTACATCCTCCATGTGGTATTCTCTATCGCTGTTGATATATTGTAATGCGTTGTCCATTCATCACAAACATTGCATCCTTGTGTAGCCACAGCACAGATCACATACACTTGACCCAAGTCTATCTGTAGATAGTCATTAGGGTTGGTTATTGTCTTTGGTCCCCATCCTCTTTCAGYGACGTTCAGACGTGCATTCTTGGCTGCATATCTTGAGTCATATGCTGAAGTTGCTGTAAATYTATCATCTGGTATGATACTACGGTCTGCTATGCCAGCTGTGCTATCCTGACAACCTGATTGATCAGATGGAGATGCAATATACGAGTCTAAACACATAGGACCACGAGAGATGTGGGAGGGTTATATGAGAGGGGCGAGGGGGGTGTGGAGGACGATGATCGTGGATTTCCCTTGGAATAGGCCCTTTGCAGTTAACGGTCACGTGTCTGTACTGGTGAGCAAAAATGTTTTATTTATTTTAAATTGGTGATTCTTTTTAGCTACTTGTAAAGAACTGAATGAAACGATGTGTAACCAGTGTGTCACGAAATGCGGTTTTATTACGATCTCTCGAAACAGGTTGTAGAAAGTTTATTTGCTCACCAGTATATTTCACTCGTGGGAATCAAGATGTTCACTCATTTGCTCTCAGTGAATTAATCAGCACGTGATTACTGAGCTGCAAAGGGCCTATTAGGGAGGCTTAGATTTAAAAAATACAGTGATGAGAATGGAGAATGAAAAGAAAGGGAGAAGGGGAGAGAACGAAAGGTTTAGGGGATAAATACACAATTAAATAGGTCCCTTTCAAAACTATCATGGGTGCCGGAAGCTAACAGGAATATAAAGGGGAAAAAACACTTTTTCTTGATCGTTGGAACTTGTGGCTGTTTTTGTATGCATTTTCCTTTTACCCATGCACCCAAAATAGGGTCACAAAACATCAGGAGCGAGTTCAAATTCCCAAAGAAAATATTTGCTTTCGAMAGCTCTTTCACTAAAGATTCGTAATTAAACTAAACAGCTGGTACAAACAAACAGCTTCAAATTACATATACTTATTCGAAAATGAAAGCTACCGTCTGACAGTTACTGAAACTGGCAGAAGCTTATACGCTGTTGTTTTAACTTTCGAAATAATTAAACCGCTTTTTTTTTAAATCAGTGCTTACAAACAAATGTGGTATAATTAGGCGATAAATAATTATTGCGCTACATTATTGGTACATTATTATCACAGTCCTTGAAGTAGGAGAATCACGAGTATTGTCATTTCACTTTCGCAAGCTTGTTCCCTCGGTTCCTGGAATTTTTCCCTTTTCATTTTTGCATCGAATTTAAGAACGTGTTTGAACTCGTATTTGGTTTTATAGATAATTTTAACTATTTTCGACTTTAGTTTTGCATTGTCATTTTGACTTCATGTTCCGCAAATTAAAGAAAAATAACATTCCAATGKTCTTGAGTTGAATTGTGACATGTTATGCGGGCATCAAACTAAACAATTGAGATTAAAACTGAAAATTAATTAAAATACATAAGCTAATAAATAATAACCTTAAATACTCTAAATGCCTACCAGGTCTATACTAATATACTTTAAACTCAAAGGAAGATAAATAAACGAAATACAGTCGACAGTGGCATTTTTTACAGAGTAACTCTTTATTTACAGATTTCCAATTGGAAGTTGCGAGTTGATACTTATAGCTAGATATACTTTATATTTTGAGTACCATCTCAACTTTTATAAGTTACTATATATATGTTTGCCTTCAGTACCATGTCTTCGTAGATATAACCTGACTTCAGCGCAAAAACTGTAATTATAACTAACAAGAAGTGCGTGAAATGGGACAGGTTCTTAAATTAATATTAAAAATCAAAAATGAATGCCTAATCGTAAAGTTGGTATTTCAATCGTTTATAGCCTTTCTGTGACAAATAAAAATTTTCAGGAAACAGAGCTTCTAGGTTTCGTATAGTAGTCAGGGTACCAGGTACCAGGGTACAAGATGTTTTCCGCTATTTTTTTTTAATGTAATGAAAGCTTATGAAAAAAATTTCATCGTTATTGATTTTCTGTATTTCTAGTGAAAGAGCAAGGAGAGCAAATCCTAAATATTTATGGCAGAAACAAAAACTTACCGTTTGCAAAATGCAGAAGAGAAAGAAGAGAAAAGAGGAAGTAGCTGGACATTCTTAAGTACTGTGGGCCATATCAAGACCTTTTTCAACTGATTTTGTGTACGTCTGGACGTAAAGTCTATATGCCTTTTACATCCAAGACTCTCCTGCGGAGTAGCGAGGGGCCAAATTACAAAACTGGCCAATGGGGGACGCTCTTAATCTAGATAGATGTCGTCATTTGCATAACTATGGCAGGATATCTTATACTTGACAACAATATCAATCAAGGATAATCTTTTATTGAACGGAAAGTCCGCATGCCGTGATCTTACTGGCCAATCAGAGATCCTAGCTCATTCCGGGACCCAGCTTGTTCTTGGCATACTTTCAAATACCGCTAGCTAAATACGAAAATGAAACAAAYAGTTTGTTGAATATAAAAACAAGGTATCAATATATTTTATACTTTCGTCACTGTCGAAGCCATCATAGTGATCTTCGCTTGCGTCGCACAAAGCCTTACGTCGCCTGGTCCTCGTAAAATAAGCGAGGGATCCCTGTGGTGGGCCAGTAAAAATGATCTGAGGTCCACAAAGTCAGGGGTGTTTGTCCTCTCCTCCCTTGTATCCTTTTAAATTTCAATGAGCATATTGGGCAGGCGCACGATGGAGAGTATTTTCCTTGCCTGATCGATTTTGAAATGTATTCTATTGAGTATAATACTTTTATTTAAAGGCAACTTCTAGAAAGTACACTATTATAGATCTTAAAATATATAAACTAAAAAATCCGATTTTTAAGAACATTTTTCCACKTTTTACTTTTATCAAAAGTGGGTACCCTGTGTCTTCAAATGATGTAATGTTTTCGAGTTATTACCTGTTCATTGGGAAGCCTGTGTTATGACGTAAGTATTGTCAAAATAGAACCATATCAGCCATTAGAAACCAATCGACGAACGAAACGTGGAAGAGAAACAACAAAGTATTTATTCTTGGGATCTTATAAAACAGCTACGTCGTAGTAACATTGTTTAAACTGAGAGCAACCTTGGTGGAAATTAGGACACGAGAGCAAAGATACAACAGGAATTTTAGTTCTTGGTTAGAGAAATTTTGTTTTGAACGAAATTGAAAGTGAAAAAATCTAATATTTATTAATCATAACAAGCTGAAAATGAACTCCAAGGAGTCGTGGAAAATCTGCCTTTTCGTCGTGTTTGTATTGATTTCTTATTCTGCTTTCTCAGAAGGTATGGTTTTATTTGGTCTTAGTGACAATTTCTAGAGAATATGCTCTGCATTAATATAGCTTTGTGCTGAAATTGTTTTTGGCTTGCGCAACAAGCTGTCAAATTCTGAGTGAAGCAATGGCATAAAGTGCTCTGGTCGCGTGGCTTTGAGAAGAAAATTTCAGCTTTCTTTTATTCTTTTGTTTTATTAGAACTAGAACAAATTCTAAATAAACGCTCTTCTAAATTTAACGACCTTTGTGATGAATGRTGCCTAGATTTTAAAGAATATTGTAGCTTAATTTAATATCCTGTTTGAATAAGRCTATAAACATGTATTTGCATGCATTAACAGGTTGGAAGGACGATAGAGTCAAACTAAATGATGTCAATGTGTTGACTCTACGTCAAGGTCACATGAGCAATGGCCGTAGATCTGCACCTGTTCCACAAATGAAGTGTGTTGGTGGTTCTGCTGGGTGTTCAGCATTTGTGCCCAAGGTCGTTCAGTGTTATAACAGAGGATCTGATGGATATGATGTACAGGTGAATATCTAACATGGCAGAATGGTTATAACATTGCTTATCAATATTACTGATTTTTTATGCGTCACAGACTAAACTCCAAAATCTTATATTTTTGTATTTTTACCACTTTTACTGCAGCTTTCCATATCATTTGAACTCAGTAGCTGAGAGCTGCATGCTGATCGAAATTTCTTTTTTCACTGTTGTTAATCAAAATAATCAGTCAGTATCTGTTAATGTTCTTGACTGGYAGCAGTTAAAAACCAATTTCACAACAAGCCATCAAAATATACATACACTGAATATGGAAAACCACAGTAATATACAGATATAGATTTGCACTGACTCTTACAAAAAATGTTTTGCTCCAAATAACCTAATGAAAATTTTCCATGTTTTAGTGGGARTGCAAGGCTGACATGGACAATGGGTATAGGTTTGGTGAGATTTCCGTCAGCTGTGAAGGATATGACTATCCAGAGGATTCTTACATCCTGAAAGGATCTTGCGGGGTATGATTATTWGAAATATTAATAGGCCCTTTGCAGCTTAGCAATCACGTGCTGATTAATTCACTGAGAGCAAATGAATGAACATTTTGATTCCCATAGGTGAAATTTACTGGAAAGCAAACAAACTTTCTACAACCTGTTTCGAGAGATCGTAATAAAAGTGCATTTCGTAACACACAGGGTACACATGTTTTCATTCAGTTCTTTACAAGTAGCTAAAAAGAACCATCAATTTAATTTAAAAACAAAAATTTTGTAGTCCAGTACAGACACGTGACCATTAACTGCAAAGGGCCTATTATTATGTATTTTTATAAATAGAAGAACATACATTTAGATATCCTTCTCCCCACATATTATTCTTCATGCTATTTTGTCTCCCTTCCATTCTATTTTTTTCATCTGTTTCTCCATCCTCCCTTTTCCTATTTTCTGGCTCTCCTCTCTCCCTCTTCCAGTTCGCGTTTGTGTTGTTCTCCCACTTATCCCTCTCTTTTTTATCTGTTCCTCTTTCCTGATTTGTCATCCCTTTTCACTCTTTTCTGGGGGGGAGGGGG